GTGTGGAAATGGGAGGAACTTACAATGGATTTCGTTACAAAGCTACTGAAGACGTCTCGTCAGCACGACAACATCTGGGTTGTCGTGGACCGTTTAACCAAAAATGTTCACTTTCTGCCTGTTCGAGAGTCGTATTCTATGGATAAATGGGCACAAATTTATATTGACGAGATTATTGCACGACATGGTGTTCCTCTAAAGGTAATTTCTGATCGAGATTCTCGATTTACTTTGAAATTTTGGGCCAGTTTACAAGGAGAACTAGGGACACGCGTGGCATTGAGCACAGCCTATCATCCCCAAACTGATGGCCAGTCCGAAGGCACGATACAGACGTTAGAAGATATGTTGTGTGCGTGTATCCTTGAGTTTGGTGGTAGTTGGGATATGCATCTACCATTGGTTGATTTTTTCATACAACAACAGCTATCCCTCGACTATCGGTATGGCGCCTTTTGAGGCTTTATATGGTCGTAAATGTCGAACTCCACTGTGTTGGCGTGAGACGGGTGAGAAAKTGCTTGYTGGACCYGAAATRATTCAAATTACGCATGATAAGATTCAAGTTATTCGGGAAAGGATGAAAGCCGCTCAGGACAGACAGAAGTCGTACGCCGATAATCGTCGACGACCAATTGAATTCACCGTGGGCGACATAGTTATGTTGAAAGTTTCCCCTTGGAAGGGTATTCTACGAATTGGTAAGCAAGGTAAGCTTAGTCCACGTTTCATTGGACCATTCAAAATCATTGAACGTATTGGCAAACAAGCATATCGACTTGAACTTCCAGAAGAGCTGTCTAGTATTCATGATGTATTTCATGTTGGATATCTTCGAAAGTGTTTGGGTAAGTATGATGAAACAATTCCCTTAGCTGAGGTGAAGATTGTCGAACGACTGAGATATATCGAGGAAACAGAAGAAATTCTAAACGAAAGAACGACAAATCTTCGAAACAAGACAATCGATTTGGTATTAGTGAAATGGAATCATCATCGTGGTCCAAATTGAACGTGGGAGAAAATAGAACAGATGCTTGCCAAATATCCCGAGCTATTCGAGAAATGAAGATTCCGATGACAGAATCCTCAAAAGGAGGAGGTAATTGTAACATACACTTTCGGAAATACATTGCAATTATCCCCTTTATACGTGCTTATGTGATCAAAACGTAAAATTTGGAAGCAAACCCGAATGCAATAAACTATATATGAAATAGTCGGAATCATCGTACGAGGCCCGGGGTAAAACAATTGGAAAGAAACGGGCCAAAAACATCAATATCTACGTTACGGATACATAAAAATAGACTTTTATTGGAAGATATTTTTGAGATATTTCTACTTTAAGTTTTAAATTATCTCTTTACAAACGCGTGAGCGAAAACCACGTCAAAAACGGAGGTCCGAGTGAAAAGTTATGCGATTTTTAGTGATTAGTGGTCAAACCGAGTTTTCA